TATGTATGTTAAAAATAATTACATAAACAAATAGATAATAAAAAAAAGAGTATTTAATTTCATATATAGTATGGAAATAGACTCCATACTATTAAATCAAAATTTAAAATTAAGTGTTTATTATAACTAATGCATATTAAAAAATAATGATAAACAATATTTTTTTTTACAAATAATAGAACCAAAAAAAAAAAAAGGTTAATTAAATTTAACAAATTGAAAATGTTTTTAGACCAATAATGAAAGTAAATACAAATAATGTTTTTGTTTATCATACAAAACATTATTTTTAAACTAACTTATAGTATTATTTTTCATCTTTTTCATCGAGTTGAACACATTCATCACCTTCAAGATCAAGAGTTTTTACTGTATCATTCCATTTAATATTATCTCCATCAAGCAATAATGTAAATTGTTCAATATCCAAGCCCAATTTCTCAGATACTTTAATATATAAAATTATCATTTTTTCATTCTTTTTTATAGTAAAAAATATTCTTTTCCTCACATCTTTTTGCATAATATAAATCTTGATTTCATCATCTTCCAATTTTTCTTCTTTAGCCTCATTATTTTTTGATGGATCAGAAATGGAGCTTTGGTAAAAATCTATTTTACCATCTAAAACCCGATAAAAAAAATTTAATAACCAATTGATTTGATAATATTCAATTAAAATGTAGTAGAGTAAGATATTTCCATTTAAGAAAAAGATTGTATTTAATTATAATTAAATGTATACATTTTATGATTAGAATGAAATTATATTTGAATACATTACAATTGAATCAAAAAACTTTCTTTAGATACTCATAAATACAACAGTTATGTTGCCTTAATCATAATTTATAAATTTAAAACGTGTGAAAATACTCAAATTATTAAGTAATGAAGTATATAACGAATAAAAAAATTATTATTATATTATTAGTTGCATATTATAGATTATAAAAAAAAATTATATATTTAAGTTCATCAGGTGAGAAATGGAAAAGGTTAATTATCTCCAACAAGTGCTTGATATTAGTGAAATGTACAAGTAGTGAGACATAAACTAAACTATCTTTAGATCTTTATGCTATTGGCACATTTATAATAAAAAAAATGTTAGATTTCATACCAAGAAACATTTAAAATAATTAGTTTCAACTGTTTACAATCTTTTAAAATTAAAATATAAAACCATAATTTTGATCATTAATAAAAAGTATTCGAATTTAATAAGTTTAAAGTAAAAAATACTGTGTATGTAATAGTGTAACGGACTTCGTAAAATATACAATATATTCATAGTATGGTATCTGTTGAAAAGATATCAAGGTATCAAGATCACAAGAAGGTGGAGGAAAACAAACACATAGTTATGCAGGGGACATGTGTATGATAAAAACATGCATCATATAAAAGCGAACCTGATATTAGAATTATTCAATTAGAGGTTAATCAGTATACAGTAGTTTACTGAAGATATATTTTAAATAGATACAGACAGCAAGACAGTGGACAGTAGTTTATGTCTATTCTGTCAACTAGTGAATTAAATATTTACAAGTCTGTTTCATTCATGTAGTAAAATTTAAATACATTTGTACTTTAAAATGTTTTACAAACATTATATGTATTTTTAAATGTATTATTTACTCATATGTACCCATTGATAAAAACTGTAAAATGTTGGATGCAGTGGAGTGAACCGCAATAGAATAAAATTGTATATTAGTAAGCTATATTATAGTTATGTATTGAATATTTTTGCTTAATACTTTATTTAATAATAAACATAGATATTACCAATGAAATCTGAAATCTTGTAATTTATAGAACGTGGTGTATCTGTTGGTCGAAGAATTTTTCCGTGTAATGTCAAAGTAATATGTGTTATATTTATTTGTTCTATTTTAACAAAATGTTCAAAAATACTTTCAATTGACTGAAACTGAAACGAATAACTTATCAATAATTGTTATTAACAATAAATTTTATTTAAGTTTCATACCATTCTAATAGGAAAGGTGGATGTTGATGTTTCACGCCAATAAACTTTAACGTTGATAGTACGATTTAATTCTTCCAATGTACATTCATCTGGTGGAATCTAAATTGTGAGAATATATTAAATAATTGTTCAGAAAACATATTTTTAAATAAATAGTTAAAACAATAAATATAAAAATAACTTACAAACATTACTTCTTCCTTTTTTGATCTTTTTGAACGTGGTGGTAAATAAGACATGTCATAACCATCATAAAAATCTCCTATAACTATAGTTGGTCCGAGTACCCTATAATAATTTATAGTATCATTCTGTCTACTACTTAAAAATTAAATTTAAAATATTTAATATACCTTAACATTTGTGGAGTTTCTGCAGTATTTTGAGTATTCTGAATATTTGAGTTTGTATTCTCAGAATTTGAAGCCATTCGAGCGGCACCCGTAAAAAATACTGGAGAAACACTAGCAATAAAACAATCGGAAGTATTAAACATAAAAAGCATTACATTAAAATTATGAAAAAAACATTTACCTAGTCAATCTAAGATCGACTAGTGATCTATTTCTATTTGATTCAGGCGAGATTCCTGTGGAAGTGCCAGGCTCATTAACCACTTCACTGTAAAAATTAACA